GGCAGACTGTGATATTGGAGAACCTTTTGTTGCGAAGACTAAACAGGCTATTGCTCTACCACACAGAACTCTCCATGCTGGAATTATGCATGCCGTTGACATGCAGGCAACCCAAACTGTGGCCCTTCTCCCTACTGAGAATTGGAGAGCACTTTGGTATTAAGCCATAATACCTCTTAGTCACTATTTCTAAATTTGCACTATTGGTCCTGGTGTATTTTTCTTCTCTCTCTCCCTCTATTTTTTTTTTGAAGAAACTTTGTCAGTGCTGTTTTGAACTTGTGTTTTCTCAATCAGCAAGCGCACATTGTACTCACCACGCAGAAAAGCTTGAACACAAATGAACTTCCATTAGCACTTTTCCTAGAATGATTTGCTTGCTCCAGAATAGCTCTAGGATGTACTTTTCCTTAACCTTCAACCAGGCCCTCCATGATTGCATCCCTCTGTTTGGAGCATCTCACAGTAGAGTCCTCTGGAGCTGACCACCAAGTCCAAATAAAACCTCCCCGGTAGTGGCCCCCACGGCCTTGCTGCCCTTTGGCTAAAGAGGGCTGCGCTCCGGGGTTGGTCCTGCAGCACCTTGGAGAGAGGCAGCGATGGGCAGGGGATGCTGGGTGCTCCCCCACTCGCCTGCGCCAGCCCTCAGCGAAGGGGAGCCATGGGGAGAGGATGGGAAAGCCCATGCAATCCCCCCACCCGTGGCATGAACGCAAAGCTCCAGGTGAGATTTAGCACCAAGCCCTCTCCTCAGCGTGTCTGACACGGCTGCGGTGGGTGAGTGTTGGCTATCGGGCTGCCGTGCTGGTTTTGTGCAACGCCCAAGTTAGACTCTTCCTGCTCTTGCGCAGGCTCCTGGGAAAGCTGCAGCATCACCCCGAAGCTTTGCAGCACTTGCCCTTCCCAGCTGAACATGAATGATGTTTGAGCAAAGCTGCTCTTAGTGTTGCAGCTGCACTAGGAACTGCCTTATTTCAGTTCCCTTTCACTGCTTAGCTGTATCATGATGACCACTTTGTGAAATAGCAGGTCTGGATCCACCAGCCTGCAAGACTTGAATGAACATGCATCATCCTTTCTGCAGCAGTTACCACCAGCAGAGCAATGACCACATCACTTCGCTCCACTAAGAAAGACAGTGGCAAAACTACAAGGTCAGCAGAGGATCTGAGGCTCAAAGCAGAGCATTTCCAGTTTGTGGTATAGTTCCCTAAATGCACACCATGGAAAACTGGAGATCGTAGGAGCCACGAAACAGAGCTCCGTAAACTATATATGCTGAACTTTGAGCCCATGATTTGATCAAGCCTAAGGCTAGATGCTGCCCTGATAGGCTAATAAAGTGTCATAAGAAAGGGATGAAAGAAATGCAGGTTGCTAGATACAGAGTCCTGCATCTTACATGAGCAAAGTGGCACCACCACAAGGAGAATACTTAAACAAGTAACATATCTAATTTGTGGCTAAGACAACTACAGCTAATTCTCATCAAATCCAAAGGGGCTTGTCAGATTTTGGGGTCATAAGTGCAGGAGGAAGGAGAAGAGAGGTACCTAGTGCCTGGGGAGCACCGAGGAGTTAGCAAGAGGTGCTACTTTCCACTTCTGGGGTAGGTGCCGTAAAAAGTCATGATCTGGAGTACAAGACAGCCCTGACTCCAGTGGAGCTGAGGGCTTTAGTCCCTGCGCTCACCCTTGGAAGGTACTTTATGGGTCTTTCTTACTGATAAGGTCTGAGAGGCCAGCGATGTGGTGGTTTTGTTAAAACTCTGTTAATTTTGATTTCTGTCATTTACTGATTGTGTGAATTTATGCCCATGTGCGCTTCTCATGAGTATATGCAGTAACTGAAGAGAAAGTGTTCCCAGATAATATTTAGCTTGATGTTTGCTGTGTATTTGCCTCAGACCTGATAAATGACTTTGTTGTCTGTTCTTCCTCCAATCAGTTATTTAATAAAACATCCTGCCTCATCCCACAAACACTGCCTTAGATGATTGTAGCTATGACCACCCTTACTACTAACCGTGCCATAGTTCTGCCCTCCACCAGTATCTTTCACTTGAGTGTTTCCATCACTGGGGCCAGTTTCACTGTGGCTCCACACGTGCATGTGAAAGCACATGTATATAGGGACATGGCCCCATATGGTTAATAGTGTGGCCAGGCTCGCAAAGCACTGACTCCTGAAGAGTGGCAGGCGTGCTGGGTTGTACAGGCTGAGCTCCTATGGCCTTGGCTCTCCTGCTGCCAGTACAGCCAGTCCTCCAGCCGACGGTGAGACCTGGTATGCACAAACACACAGCCAGCGACCACGCTGGAGCCCTGCTCAAAGATAGACCTTCAAGGTCCGTGCTTTGCTTAATGTGGTTTAAATAGGGAGAAAACATCTTTAAACTTGATGATGTAAGAGTTCCCCCCTCGAAAGCTGCCACCAGTGCAAAACAAACATAAACAAGCAAATCAATCATGCTGTTGGCTGCTAATGCTTGTTGTGGGGAAAGCTGAGGATGGGTAGGCAGGAAGGCGGTGAGGAGCCAGTATAACAGAGTTATCTTTGGCTGAGGAACAAATTGAAGAGGGATTCCATAAAATCATGAATGTGCAATAGGAAAAGTTATTCTGCCATCCCAACCTGCAGCCAGTATGTAATGATGATGACAAATTTAAGCTCTAAAGGCATAGATGTGAGTTTATTACTTCTTTAATATGAGTGCTTTACTGTTTTACAGTGTAGGACAGAGTGCAAAACACTTCCTTGCTGAACTATTGTTTCCTCCAGATTAGTGCCAACCTATGTTTAGCAGGTTTTCCAAAATCAAACACCTCACTCTTTTTGAATTTATGCTACATGTAACACTACCCGTTGCTTGTGCCTGCAATGACAGTTTAAAATTAGATTTTCTAAATGTCAGCAGCTTGCAGCTTGCTACCATCTCATTTTAACAAGGGCACATTCCTTTAATTTGTTGTAATTTTTTTCTAAGTTACTCTAAACATACAAAATAAAATCTTACGGGGATGCTTAAGTATATTATTTAAATAATATATACATACTCTTAACATATGTATTTCGTTCATTCAGTCTGTCAGTAAACAGTAAAAGTAGTAATAAAATAGAATCTAAGCAGCAAATTGATCAGAGCTGATTATTCTGAAAGCTTTTGTAGAAATAATAATAATAATAAATGCAAGTTTGTAGTTACTAAAGTATTTCACATTGCTTTGAACAAATTTGACTGTACAAACCTGAGAAGGGGAGTTAGTTAGTTTTTTCTTTAAATCTCAGGAAAAAGAATGCATAAATGGTTATTTACAAAGGGATGATATTAGCTTTTAAAGAGTATGTTTGTGTTTCTATGCCTCTTGGTTTTTCTTTTTTTTTTTTGATGAACAGCATTTTCTTTAAGAAAGCAAAAATATTTTTATGCATTCAGATCTCTCAGATGTGATTTGCAAAGGCTTGGAGGAGAGCATGATCAAATGTGTATAGACATGATTCTGTGAATTTTGTCTCAAAATCCTCTGTTCATACCGAGGACATTCAGTAAGGTTCTTGTGACACTGCTCAAAATCAAGCTGCACACTGACAGTACGATCATGAGTCATCAAAACAGCACGTACGCAAACAGCTTGCTTTTTTATTTGTCAAAGTGGATAAACACCCTGACAGGGAAGCTGATAGGTTCTGCAGTGTGTTTAGGCTTCGCACATCCATTATGAAAGAAATACCCACCCCACTAAGACAGTAATTCAACTTTCTCCTGCTCCCGAAAGCGTAGGAGTGGATCAGCCTGCCCCAGCACGCAGTGTGACCTGGGGGCCGGTGAGGAGAGGGCTGGGCTTGTAACATCCCCATGTTCCCGTGTCTCCCCACGTGTGTCTGGGTCCGTGTTGTGCCTGCGTGTGCGTGACCCTGTCCCTATAACATGGTAACAACCGCGCAGCTGCACATCGCAGGCCTGCTTCAGGTCTGGCTGGGGGCATTTCACCTTCGCGCCTCTTGCTGGTCTCACAAAGACTTTGTAAAGCAGGTTCTAGCCTGGGCCCGGCTTTTCATTCCCTGTGATACCAATATCTTAACCTGCTGTCTCCTGCAGGGTCCTGCCTCCCTCGTGCTCTCATGCTGCCCACGTCCAGGGAAGGGCAGCCCGTCGGCCTCTGCCCTCATGGGAAGCAAACGCTCCTGGCATCCCAGCCGCACTGTTACGCGCAAGCTCACTGAAAACAACCTCGCCGACCGTCTCCAGGCTCAGCAGCAAACAGAAAACAAACCTCTGCATTTACTGCTTTAGCTGCAAAACAGAATACACTTTCCACAGCAGACCTGTAGTTAGCCACCAGCTCTGAAAAAACTCTTTTCTGATTTAAGGTAAGCAGTCTCAATTTGTTTCTATGCTTTGATAGACAGCTTCTGAATACAATTATTTCCATCAAAGCAGATATTCTGAAAAAGCACACCTTAAAATTTTAAAGATAAAATATTAGCCTCTGGTACAGCAAAAATATATACAAGTACTTAAGTTTCCAACATGTAAGCATTTTTGAAGTATTCACTGACATAGCACTTTGCTATCTGATTTCCATACATCCTAAAGAGACCTGATGACTGACCCAGCTCTTGCCATCCTTTCTCCTCTCCCCATCCAGCCAGAAATGTGCTTATTTTCAGAAGGAAATACGAGCTGGAAGGTACCTCTTAGACAGTTAGCCATCTCTCTGCTAAAAAGGCTTTGCTAGCGATAGAGGATTTACTGAACCTTGGCCAGTATACTTATCTTACACTGCTAACCACAGAGCAGAGATTACTGTCTTTCCTTGGAATATATCTCATGCTTGGGAAGTTGTTTCTGATATTCAGCCTACACTATCCTTTAATTATGTTCATGACAGTGCTTTCATCATAATCTCCTGCACAAACTAAAACAATCTACGCCTCAGGCTCATGCCTTGCAATACCCATAGCTCCCCATGTGTCTCAGTTAAGTTACACCCACTTACCTTCTACTTTGAAGAGAGTAAGGTGAGGTCTGCAGTGAAAAGCGCCCAGTGCGTTGCCTGCACAGTTCATCCAGAGGCCCTGGAAGACCCAGGTTGCGGTGATAACAGATGATGCTCGGCTAGTGACTTTCCATTCATTTGACGCAGTAGCAGCAATAACAGCTCCTACCCCGCAAACACAAAAAATAAAAGCTATAATCTGTATTCCTAGCATGTTTTGCTGTAGCCCAAGAGCTTGGTAATGTCACTGTGGGGAGAGGAAAGTACTTTAGTCATGTGGGTAAGTAAAAAGGCGTAACATAAGCAAATTAGACTTGAACAAGTTCAGTAACACTTGTTACAGAAAGTTAATGTGGCTGAAAGAAATTGTCGTGCTCGAGTGATTTAAGAAAGGCCCCAGGCATTACAAATGTTTAGAAAGAAAGACATGGTACAATTTCCAGGAGCTAATTACTGCTACTCACTTACTAATTTCCAATTTTAAAAATCAATTATATTTTTTCATATTTTTTCAATTAAGATATTCCTGTTAATGCTTAATTTTTAGTTAATTGGAAACTTACAAACATAGCATCTAGCAAAAAAGGTTCAGAGTCCAAACTGTACAGCGCCATTTAACAGATTACCGTAACATTTTAGGAGGATCACACAACACTTGAAAACACGTGTTTAAGATTCTGTGAAATTAGTGTAGCTGTAGCTAGCCATCAGGCAAGCAGCTCGCTTCGAAAACAGGGACATCTTTGCAGCAGGGCCTGCCCGTAGGACACCAAATCCAGTGCAACAGGAACAAGAGGTCCTGAATAAGTGAGGCAGCTGTGGTGGGGAGCAGAATGGACTTCGTCATGTAACTCCTATTGGGATTTTCTTCTCTGGTCAAAAGTCAGCATAGAAAATGCTTCCTATGGTAGGTCTGCTCTGCACAACAAACATTGTACAGACATTTCCAACACACCATTGCCTGAGCTCTTGTGCCCTAATGCTACAGGGCAGCTCAGGCCCTGAAAGGCTGTCACTGATTTAATTAAATGCCATCCCTGAAGTAGTAGACACTGACTCTCAGCAGAGCTGGGTAGCCCAGACACAACACCATGCTGAAATAGCTGTTCCCTTTCCTGTTCTTGAGGAAACTGCCATTGCTGGTGTGAGCTCTACCTACAGCTTTGTGAGCATCTGTGGCCTTAAGTCTCCTGAGGTGTCAAAGTCCACCTTTTCTTGTGGCCATCCTCATGCTCTGGTCCTTTTGGCCTCTTCTCTGAAGAAGATAACACTCTTTGGTCTTATGCCATTTGGTGGCATGAGATCATTCTGGGTGTTGAATATACACAACTACTTTTGGCAGTGAGAGGAGTCTATTTTTTTCCCCTTGGATGCTTTTAGTATTGGTTGTACATGTGACAGCTGTGATCACGACCATGAGCACATTGGCATCTGAGCTTCCTTCTAGATCAAAGAGAAGTAACCAAGAACACCAATGATATGACCAAGGAGAGTTTTACAAAGACTGTCCTGTTGGACGATCAGCTGTTATTAGTTCTTTTACTGTTATTATTATTATTATTATTAATATTATTATTTTATATACTTTGATTCTTATTACTTGAACCAGCGTTAGGTTCATTCCTGAGCAGTGAGGATTTGACTTTGCTGTCAAATAATGCAGTCACATTTAGACAAACATATTTGTCCTACGACAAGAATTAATCCTTCGCTTGTTTCACTAACTTCGAAATTGTATAGAGGAGAATATAGATATAGGCCCATCTTTGAAGCACATTACCAGAAGCTAATATTACTTTTTGTTGAACCTCTGCTGTATGAAATGTTGCATTTCTTGCATTTTTGGTTAAGGGCTGTGCTAGTTCATACAGGAGATTGAGAAGATGTGTCATTAGGTATTTTTTTTTCAAAACAGCTCTGTGAGAATCTTGTTGGCTGAGTTCATGGAGAAGCTCAGAGGCATGTTTGGCATCCGATACTAAAGTCAGGCCTTGCTCTGGGCTCGCCCTGAGTGCTCTCCACAGTGATCCAGAGATATCAAAAAGCTTGTTTGCTTAGGCTGAGGGATCAAAGGTGGCTGGATGCGACCACTGACCCATCCCTGCCTGCTCTGCCCCCTTTCAGTGTACCCTAGCAATTTGACCTGCAATGAATTAGCCAAGCTCAGGGATGCCTGGTTGTATCTTAGCAATGTGCCCCAAGGCAGAGGAACCTCCCCAGTAGGCCCTTGTTCTTTTAAACAAGTATCATGTTAGGAAGAGACTTTATATCTCTGTTTCTAGATGAACTGCAATGCAAACTTCTAAGAATGAACCATTTTCCATTCTCAGTGTTAAATGATGATATACAAAGGCCTCCTCCAGTACACATTCACTCATGTTTGTCATGCTCTTGGGACACTGGAAGTCACTTATTTTAATGGAGCGTGCCTGTACAAGCAATAGGCACCACTTGAACTGTAGATTGTGTTTTTAGGACTTAAGTAGGACTTAGTGATTTCTTGGCCTTGATCCTGACTCTGGTTTACTGCATGAGTTTCATGGTTAGAAACACTTTACCCTGCATTGTTTCTAGGCAATCAGTGTGTGAGTGATGAATAAATTAAACAGACACTTAGGTGATAAGAAAGAAGTAAGCAGTCCTGTTTACAGCCTTCATTTCTTCTATAAACTGTCAGGAAACAAGTTAATCATCATTTAAGAAGTATAAGGCAAAGTTGAAAGTTAGCCTGGTAATGGTGTTTTTCATTGTATCAAAGCTTCTTTTTTTAGTTACTGAACAGACAAAACTTGGAGAACAGCTGATAGCTTAATGAGTATTTAAATATAAAGGTGGAAAAAGGAAAGCATTGCTGCAGGCCTTCGTTGAACTATTGCTCCAAAACTTCACAAAAGGCACTAGCTGGTCACGGGACTATCACTACACAAGTAACATGCGATATTGCCATTACTACTGATACCCCTTTCTGAAATCAGTTCAATGCCAGTCTTTAAATACAGCTGACAGCTTTGCAGCATGGCAGGAGTGCTTGCACCGGTAGGCTGTAGCCTCCAGTTTACGATGTTTACTTTGACCTACATAAATCGTGGCAACTGGGATGAGTAAAGATGTCCCAAGACTTGTATGCTGGCTGATAGAGATCTGATTGCTAACCATATACGGGTCCCTCACAGAGGCGTGTACACTTTAGCAAACTGAACTAGTTGTGGGGAAGGCTATAGTAAAATTAAAAAAGAACTAAGTGCAACAAAATCCACATATCATCTGAAGAGCAGAAGGAGAGCTCTACAAAGCAGACAGTTAAGGTAGCATAGAGAGGGCTTGCCATATAAGCAGCTAGTAATGGTGAAGATACTGCTTTGGAGAGCATGGGCAACACAAATTGCCTCTGACAACTGCAAAGGGAGTTATGAGAGGCCTACACAACCATGGAGAAGCTACATAAGCAGTAAAACAAGAACTTACAGGAAAGAATAAGTGACAAGTAGAAGCATTGAAGAAATGGTGCAGATATCATAAAGTCTGGAGGCATCAGCACAATGCAGGGCAAGGGCTAAGCTGTATGGAAATCTAACTGGGCCAACAGCAAAACCAGGGCAACAGCATAGTGCAAAGAAGGTTCCTGGGAAATGCCAATGACATATGGCATATGAGCCGGTGTCAAAAGTAGGGAGGGTGCATTTCAGCTAAGCGCCTAATCTCGCTGTCCATGCCAGGTACATGCACTCTAGAAACTCTGGGCAAACAGGGTTGTAGGCAAAGGTCAGATGGCTATCAGTGATGAGGCACAGCCAGAGGGGAATTTCAAGGAGCAATGAAGATACTAAAAATGGGAAAACTGATGGCACAGACAAATTCACAGGTTCCTATAGGAGAAGGACAGTAGAACATTAGGCTATAATGAGATAAAACAATTTGTTATAGTTAGAGATGTTTGCTCCTACCTTGTCATAGGGAAGTCCTGGCAGCATACATTGTTAAAGGAGGTACTCTGAGAGTCTTACACCAATTCCAAATTTCTTTCTTTTTTTTTTGTGCTCTATGGTCAAGGTACAATAACATGACTGTAGTATTAGTCTTATGCTTTAGTATAATCATTCTATTAATCATAGCAAAGTTGTTATATTACTATACTGCCAGTACAGAAAGAGGTGCTGCATATACCCATTGCTGGAAGAATTGATTTGAGACTGTATGGATACCTGCATAGGGCTGCCCCCAACCCAGCCCCAGGCTCCTAGCCTGGATGTGGGTCCCAATTTCCTCAGTGGCAGCCTGAACCCCTCTGCCTGCCCATGAGGACGCTTGGGGCAACCTGAACGCTTCACATGGCCCTCTTGCTCCCTGAGGACCTCCGACCTGGCCTGGGACCCACAGGACAACATGTATGTTCCTGCTAGGATCAGGGTGTTTCATACTCAGGGGCCCTCAGCACTACCTGGCAATCCATTATTCAAATGACTGGTCACGAATAGCCAAAATTAGGGCCAACCTGACTAATCAGTAATCCTCTCTGTACATAGTTCACTGGATTGGATTATATTAGTAGTTTTGAGAGTCTGAAATTAACAGAAAAAAACATGTAAACAATCATTCTTTACTGCGTGATGCTCAAAATTATTGAGTACAGACATAGAACACAGAAAAAACCCAAAACCATAATGTGAAGAATATATTTGAAATAGCAATGTAAATTTTGGAGCGAAGTCCCACCTATGGTAAATCTGACAACTGATTAAAACTGTTTAAGACATTTTGATATAACACAATATGATATTATTATGAAAATTAATAATTAAGAGGAGTTACTCTGACTGACTTTCCTATTACTTTGCATATCAGAAAAAGTGCTCGTGATTTCACAATATTCCACTTGGTGCTACAACTCTTTAAAACTACAACATATAATCAGATTGCAAAATACTGCCTTTCTCCATACTTCCTCTTTAGTCTATCATCTCATGAGGAATGTTGAAAACCCATCTTCTTGATAATGCCCTGAGGTGCTATGAGTCTCCTTGGAGACTCTCACTTTATATGAAATTAGGGAAGGAACAAAAGTGTTGCTGTCCTACTGTACATCTCCTT